AATTCCTCCGGGCCCGGGTTGGACTCAATGCCAGCACGAGTCAGGAGGATAAGGAGCAACCCTGCTGCAAGTAGTTGCTCCAGTGACGACACACACAGATTAATATTCACCRATCCAAACGGGGTTAGATCGCCGAAATGACAGCCCATGGTCGGATGAAATCCGAGTCAATTCCGGTACGTAGAACCGGCTGTCGTGGGAATTGTCCTGGTATCCTCTACTATGGTTTCATATATTCTCTTGCGAAGTATGTCCTCTATACATTTGTGAATTGGTGCTGAGACGTGTTGTCAAGAACACCATCGATGACAAGGAAGACGCATAATAGGTTGGGTCGCGGCGCATTCCTTATATTTTTTTATCTTGTCTTACTTTATGTCTTTATCTCTAGATGAAACAATATCACGCATGATTGTGCCGTAAAGAAAATTTGCTCTACAGGAAACTTTTTGTCAATATGAAATTTTTATAATAATGGGAATTAAATTGTGTGCTTTACGTTCCTAAATGATATTTGCTTTAGGGTCTATATATTTTACAATGCATTTATTTTCATCGTGATATAAATAAAAAATATCAGGAACCAAGAATGTACAATATTTATTGCTTCTGGGAATCTTATGTAATGTAACTAATGTAGTTTGAAAATAAAGAACATTATAGAGTACTTATTAAATATAAATAATAGTTTACTAAAAATAAGTAAGGGAAGCTATACCTACGGATTAGAGAATTAAAACAATTGATCATATTGGCATTTAATAATTGAATATTGTGCTCTATCAATATTAAGATAAAGTCAGAAAACATTTACTATAAATTGGGACTCAAAAAAGGTGTCACAGTGTAAAAAAGGGAAATCCTCGGCGATAGGGTTACGATTTTTTGGCGTTATTTTTGCATTATTAATATTTTGTATTAATTGATATAACTGATTAGAAACGAATAAGTGAAGTGTTAGTGGATATAAAAGTGAAAAATATAAGTGTAAAATGCATTACAAATCGGAAAAACACATTTTGGGGATTGTTTAGTATCGCGCCGGTTAAGTATCGTTTATGGAGAAAAACAGGGTCGAGCTACCCCCCTCCCGACCCCTTATTGGAAAGAGGAAGGATCGAACTTTTTAATAAACTCCCCCTCGACCCCCTAGAGCGCCTAAGGACCTTTAGGGAGGCCTTTGAAAATTACCAAAAATCGGTGTTTTTGCTCATTTTTCCATACAAACTGAAACCAATGCAACCCAGCCAACATTTTTGTATGGACAAGAAATCAAAATAAAGAGCGCCAAAATGTTTCAGTGCAATGTATATACATATTTAATTGCATCTATCCCTCGGCCGAGTTTTAAAAAAAAGTAACCTTGGCCGGTCCAACACCGGCTACGCCTTCGGCCGCGCTTCAAAAAAATAATCCTGGTCGATCCAACACCGGGGTGTTCAGGGTTCTTTCGCGCGGAACTCCTTTCTGTACTGGCGGCCTTTGGCCGCGCTTTAAAAGAATAACCCTGGCCGGTCCAACACCGGCTACGCAATCCACAGTATTTTAGCATTGAACACCTTTTCGCGTTCACTTCATACATTTATTGCTAAGTGGGTTTAATTTATTCCCTTTTGTTCGTACTTTCTCGGTAATTTGACAGTCATTTTGGTTTTTCGCATTATTGAACTCAATGCAGAAAAAGGTGTATTTTATTTAAAGATTTACRAAGAAATTAACAATCAAAAGTAATTAAAAACATAAGTAGTGGTTATAAGTCATAAGTAATATATGTGCGTGAGTATCCATAATTGGTTTGGTACAATGCACAACAGACGAATGCACTAATGCACTAGCATATATTTAGAAATTTGTAAAAAATAGCATTTTTTAAAGTGAATTTGTGCAAAAATTTGTGAACCGATTTTCGTCGACGTTTAAAACAAAGTTCGATAATTTAAGCATACATGCGTGTTTAAAATTTTCCATTTGGTGACGGTGAGCCAAAATTAACCGGCGCGATACTAAACACCACCCCACATTTTTTCAATATATTCTTCAATAGCATAATTATGTGCTAAAAAATGTGGCTGCGATTTAGAATAGCATCCCGGATTTTGGGGTTAAAATGGTTATGTACGGATAGAGGAGGTCCTCCAGATCAAATATATATACTGTGAGCGTCAAAAATAAGTAAACAGCAGTTCTATCAATATTAAAGTGTTTWTAAYAACGCAGTCTTTAATGCAACAATAAAAAGTTGTATTACAGAATTCAAGGCTTATATCATAAGAGTTTAACTTAGTATAAATAATAAACAAAAACTAAACACAGCCAAAAATAATTCACTTAAATTACAAATACTCTCGTTTTATCGTGTCAAAAAAAAAGTAAACAGTGGCGCCATCCGTTGTTTGTTTATAATACTTATTTTGGTAAAGCGACAAATATTATTTGGAAACCGTTACTATTCAAGAGAGTGAGTGTAGTAAAGAATATTTTTTCATATCCCATTTGTTATTTTTGATGTTAAGTCGCAAAATTATTATATTTTGTAATGGGCAAGCAAAATACTACTGAAACTCGAAAAATTATATTAGATTTGCATAAAACATAAGGTAAATCTTTGCGCGAAATCGGACAAATAGTTGGAAGACATCATTGTACAATAAAAAAAATTATTGATAAATACAGTAAACATCAGACTGTTGAAAATTTGCCACGGCCGGGCCGACCAAAACGCCTTACTGTCTGTGAAGCGCGATCAATAGTACAGGAAGTAAAATCAAATCCACTTTCAAGCGCTGTCCAACTATCAAAAGATATAGCAGAGACATCCGTAAAGTGCCAGTACAATAAGGAGAAGATTGTACAAAAGCGGTTTGCATGGAAGAGTACCACGGAAAAAACTCTACATATCAAAGGCGAATCAACAGAAGCGCTTGGAATTTGCAAAAAAGTATATAAATCAGACTGCAAACTTCTGGGACAACATTTTGTATACAGACGAAAGCAAATTTGAAACATTTGGATCGAAAAAACCCCCTAAGATTTGGCGATCCAAAAATAAAGCCTTTGATGATAAGTGTATTACCAASACCGTAAAACACGGTGGAGGATCGGTTATGGTCTGGGGCTGTATGGCAGCATCTGGTGTTGAAATTTAGTTTTCATTGAATTCACAATGAACAAATTTGATTATTTAAACATTTTAAAAAATGACGTCGCTCCTAGCGTTGAATTGGATCTTTCAGCAAGACAATGATCCTAAACAAAAGTCAAAAATTGTTAGTGAGTGGCTGTTATATCGAACGCCAAAAACTCTTGATCACCCTCCGCAGTCTCCAGACCTTAATCCTATCGAGCATTTGTGGGAGCACCTTGACCGAAAAAAATTGACTGAAGAATGGAGCAAAATCTCTCCAGAAGTTACAAAAAATCTTACAGAATCTATGCCTAGAAGATTAACGGAGGTCTTGAAGTCCAAAGAAAAGCAAACAAAATATTAGACTCTTATATCAATTTAGTTTATGTACATAWGTATATGTATTTTAACTTTACGGAACTCTGTTTACTTTTTTTTGACGCGAAAAAACGAGAGTATTTTTAATTTAAGTGAATTATTTTTGGCTGTGTTTAGTTTTTGTTTATTATTTATACTAAGTTAAACTCTCATAATATAAGCCTTGAATTCTGTAATACAACTTTTTATTGTTGCATTAAAGATTGCGTTGTTATAAACCCTTTAATATTGATAGAACTGCTGTTTACTTATTTTTGACTCTCACAGTATATTTTATTCTTTGTACAATTTTCTTTAATCTTTGCTTGCATCATCTCATATTTTCATACGATCAGGGATTTATCCGGTTTCCGGCCTGTTTGAAGTAAACAGCGTTTGTGCGATCATTTTATTTTTTGAGTTCACATCCTTTTACGTTTTTGAAATTACTGTGTTTAAGATTTTTACAATGCATAGGCAGTACGTAAATAGTGCCAATAGTTTTATTTATGTGTGCGGAGAACTAACTTTTAAATCGCAAAAACGTAATTTTACTTATTTTGGTGTTAAAGTTGGGGATTAAGACAAAGCATGGACCCCTCATATCTGTTGTAAAACTGGTGTAATACTGTTAACAGCTTGGTTAAAAGGTTCAAATCGTGAAATGCCCTCTGCAGTGCCATTCATTTGGAGAGGACCTAAAGACCATGTTACAGATGTTCCCACGTCAGTCGGGTCTACGAAAACCGGAACGGACCCGGATTTTTATCCGGCCAAGGACTGTCAACTCGGCCGAATTCTGCCGTTACAACAACAACAATCATGTTACAGATTGCTATTTTTGCCTCACGAATATTAAAGGATTGGACCGAAGTCTAAACAGCTTTAAGACCCAGTGAACGAACTCCAAAAGCAAAATATCGCAGAAAACATAGCAAAAAACTATATGTGATAGAAGAAATATGTATGTAACTATTTTCTGCATTTGTGGCAATAAACACTTACTTAATAAACACTTTGTTCTGTTCATGACACAAAAAACAAGTGAAATTTTGTTTGCCAATAATAATAAATCAATAATACATCAATAATAATGATAGTAATACGATCATAAATAATTTCTGATTGCTAGATGCATTTAAAAATTAGTATTACGTCTATTTTCAGTTAAAATTTTTTATAAAATATGCCTGTAAGTTATGCGATACCAGCACTTCCTTCCAATTCATCTCAGGATGGAATTCGAGAGACTATGTTATATAGTGGATCAAAGTTTAAAGGATTCCAAAAGTCTCAAGGAAATTCATATGACGTGGAAGTTGTTCTACAGGTATTGCCAATAAATATATGCGTGTTGAAAATAATATTACTTATTATATTTTAGCATATTGATTTGCAAAATTCATTTTTATGTGGTTATTTAAAAATTAATGGACTGACTTTCGAATTTCCAACTCTGACAACATTTTTTGATGGAGAAATAATATCGAAGAAATATCCATTTTTAACCAGAAAGTGGGAAGCGGATGAGGATGTGGACAAAGGGCATTGGGTAAGAATGATTTCTAGACTAAGTGGTTTTTTATTAAATATATGTTTTTAGACGTTTTATTTAAGATAAATTTTAATGATGCCTATGTAATGTACTCAACTAATATCGTGCCGAAACCACTATGATTTAATGTCGTGTGACTCCTGTCTATTTAGCAAACTCAAACGACCGCTCCAGATCGTTTTAGGCAATTGAGACATTAAACGTGTTTCGCTTCGAGCATTGAAGACTATGACGAAAATTTACTTTAAATACTGTTTCGATGGTTAGAAAAAATCATGGCGCCAAAGGGCCATTTTGAAGTATAAAATAAGGATTTTAATTAATTTATTTTTTACACATAGTAGTACTTTAGTGGTTACGTATTATTTCCGCTCATACGCCAAACTTTAATTTTCCGCGAATCGAACAAATTGTACCTTAGTCTTTTGTCGCAAGTACAATAGTGTTGTGATACTTTTTAAAAAGCTGAAATCCGGTTGACTGTCTGTCGGTCCATACGCGCAAGGTGTAACTTGTGTAAAAATTACTATTCTATCTTGATTCAACTTGTGGTATGTGGGTTCCTTAGTACAAAAAAGTTTCGAGCTCGTAGATGGTCGTAATCGGACCACTGCACACTGGTCGATTTCATGGCCCAAAAATAAAAAATAAAAGTTTGAAATTTACCACTGTTTGTATCAAAGCTATTTCTTAGAAAACCGACGAAACTAACGGTAAATACATTTTTGCTCTATCCCATTCCAACGAAAAGCGAGGGAAGTGAGACTACAGAAACACGGACTGTGCAGTGAAAATAGCTTAAAAATTATCTCTTATAATAAATTAAATTGCAATATAAAATCGTCCTTAATCCCCATAAATCGAAATGAATATTGAGAATAGAGGTATATGTTATATGTATAACAAAGTGGTTTTTATATAATAATATGTTGTTTTATTATTTTAAAACAATTGTTTTATAAATACCCTTTTGAGTGGTATGTTTTTCTTTATACATCGATTTAAGGTATAAAAAAGTTGTGATCCTTGTCTCGCCCTCAAATGAATCAATTTTCTTTATATTAGTTAATGTTTTCTAAGCCTATGCTTCTGATTTCAGCTGCAACCTTTTGTAACTCTATTTATTATTAATGTTATTCTACCAGGCATGCGATTTTTTGTGTGTTATTTTTTATCCATTTTTTGTATGAATATTCGTGCATATTTTATATATTTTTTTCATCACACAGGACGCTATGGCCGTCCTGTTTGAATTCAATTTCAAAACGAATCAGTTTAATCAAGCCTCAATGCATATTTGTGCGAGATCCTGCAACGAAATTAACTTCAAAATACTCCTGGTATTATTTTCCCTTCTCAGTCCGTAACATTTTAATTCGCACTCCCAATGTTATTCAATATGCACCAGTTTCAATTGAAGAGCTTTCACAAGAATCTGGTGAGTTCGACTCCATCATACACGAAAGAACTAACGGATCGCTACAAATTAGCACTTGCTAAACCGATTGCTTTTAGCTTAGATCCTTTCATCACCAGTCAGAAAGTATCATGCAAAAGTAAATCAATTTAATTAAAATCAGTTTTTGATTTAGTTTAATAATTATAATTTAAAAAATTCCTTTTTTCGTTTATCAACTTTTTTAATTCAAAATAATTAATGAAAATTTTTTTACCATCGGGGGGTGGCGGAGTGGGAAACGGGAGAGGGAGATTTTAAAATTATTTGGCAAAAGTTTCACTTTTAAGTAGACAGTGGAAGTATTTTTGGCCGCTGATTGCATACAAGACCGACCACTGTGCACAGCCACGCCCACAAATCGCAATTAACCGAATACAAATAAAGTGTCATAACTAAGCAATAAATTATGCTACAAAGCTGTAATTTGGTACAGAGTATCGCTGTAGTAAGGGGCACCTGTGGACAAAATTTTTTGAAAATGTGGGCTTAGCCCCGCCTTCTAATAAGTTATACACAATATTTAAATTCCAGGTGTTTCGTACAGTTTCCAGTACACAAATCAAGAAGCAATTAATATAATTTGCACGAATATTGTTTTTAGTGTGTGCCACCTTATGACTATAAATTATTTAAAACCAATAAAAACTGTTCACGCCCCTAGATACCGAATATTTGGCCCCGGAAGGAAAATACCGGTCAATGTGTGAGATTTAAACAAACTAAGGGATAATCCTCTTATAATGGTGTGTCTGTATGTTAAAAAATATATATTTAATATAAAGATTTTCGAACTTCGGGGTGACTTTGTACCGCATATATTGGCCAATATATGAATTATCCCAATGAAAATAAGAAAGCGTGTTTTGCTCACAGTGTATCCTTGTGTTTAGGATAGATAAATTTAAGAGAAAACTTAGCCCAGCCTACATAACGAATATCATGATTTTTGAACATGAAGCTGACTTTACTCTATATGATTGGTTTTACACCTTAAAGTTTTCCCTGGCTTTGATTCTTGAACGTTGCAAGAGTATATAATGTTGTGTTGCACCCGAACTTAGTCCATCCTTACTTGTTATAAAATAATATAATTGGTCTTAAGGCTTAAGTTTTAAAAATACAAGAAAATAAAAAAAGCGTATTCTAATTTGTCATCTCAATGATTTATAATAATAAAAATGTATTTAAAATATGCAAAGCAAGATAGCATTGAAGATATCGATTGGAATTTAAATCAATACATTGTGAAGAAGCCTATCCTAATCGAGGCCAGCTAATATAATACAATATTTCATATAAGACTCTTTCGAATTTGATGGGATCCTCAATCAACTAGACACAATAAAATTTACTTTCATTATGGAATTCATTATTATTTGTTTCCTTTTTCTATTTTCAGAGCAAATTTGCCGCTTTTTCTGAGTATGAAGAATCATTTAATTCAGATAATTTTGACTTTAAAAAATTGGCGAATAGCGACTATGTATTCATGCGATGGAAAGAACATTTCCTAGTGCCAGATCATACGATAAAGGATATAAATGGGGCGTCTTTCGCTGGATTTTATTATATTTGCTTTATAAAATCTACTGGCAGAGTAGAAGGTTATTATTATCACCGCTCATCAGAGCTATATCAATCTATTGAATTAGAACACATACCAGAAAATTCTTCAGAAGTGTACGAATTTAGATAAAATTAATCGTGTAATTTATTTGTTAAGCTATATGTACAATAGATATTTATCTAATAACAATAATTCTATATAATTTGAGTATATAAATTATTATTATTTCTGTCTTCTCAGCCAATAATATTCAGGATTTCTTTAGTCAACAGTGCATAATACAAAAGATAGAATAATCAACGAAATCAAGTTTGCTCAGTTGTTTTTAAACAGAAGTCGGCATAACGTTACATTTCTATAGTGTATTTATACTATCGCCAGTAATGTGGCCGTGCGGTAAACGTAATCGTATACCCAAACAAATAATCTTGCCTATTTTTAAAATTTGGAGTTATAATATTCGGAATATAATTAAAGTAAATGCTTTATTACACTCTCGTTCCACAAAGTATAATAGTCATCGAGATAGATATGGAGACATAATCGTTACCTAAAATCTAAAATAACGTAACATCAATTTTCATAAGTTTACAGGCGAAGGAAAAATGATATAATAGAAACCACTCATAAAAATAAAATATGAGTTTTGGTTATATCAGATAGTGGAGGCGAAAATGCTACCCATATGTAATATGATGTAGTGAATCATAAGCAATAAAACACTCAACCTCGATTTTTTTGATGATTCGTTATTTTGCATTTTAGGTGACGATATACATATTAATAATATAATTGATCAGGGTGATCGTCCGTGCAAGCGAGTAAAATTAAGATATTTCAATGAAACTTTGTAAACGTGTTCCATGATATTCAAGGAGCGTTTGTATTTCAGATGGGGGAAGCGGTAACCAAATTTGCTTAGAGAAAAAATTTTTAGTACTTCTCCATGCACTTTGAAAATAAGTAAAAAATTAAATAACCACAACCCTACCGTTCTTAAAACGTATGGCATAAAAAATACAATATCTTTGGAACGGAATGAACGAACAATTTTTTTTTGTTTGCAGTAAAAAGTTTATAGTTTTATACCGACCGTTCGACTTTAAAGTACAAAAATTCCCAAATTTCGAACATTTTAACAAGCTATTTCACTACATTTAACACACTTAATAATTTAAAGAAATTAACAATTTCCAGTTTTTGCAGGTTTTGCAGGTATAAGTATGAAACCTATATTTTAATACATTTACATTCGTAGTGAGCATCATTTATGTGCTAACAATTATGATGAAATGGAGCGCTGCGTTATGATAATAAGTAATTTTCTGAAATTTCTCTTCTTGGCTATAATTCATCTTTCTTTGTTTAGCTCTACTAAAAACAGGTGTCTATAAATTATATTTCAAATTAAAATAATAAGCAATCTTTCCGTTCATATGGATATTTTCTTATGTATTTAAATTTAATAAACAACTAAGTAATATTATATAAAAATGTTACGTAATAAAATACTTAGGTTACCCCGGGTATTGGCTCGACCAGGGTTATGTTTGTGCGGCCGTAAGCCTCCAACGCAGAAAGTAATACTACGCGAAAGCACTTTAGTCGCCATGGGTATTGGCTCGAGAAGAGTTTTTTTAGAGCGACATGATCTTATTATAATATAAAATGGTAATATAAACAATGTTATATTACAACGATATAAATTTTATAATATTATCATAGCGTTTTAATTATTTGTGTTTATTAAATAAATATAAATGTCATGTTGATGAAAATCTTTATTATTATTAAAAAAAACTCTTGCGGTATTTTCGCTAGTTGGCGCTGAGAGCGCGTAGTTCTAGTTTTTATATATATAATATAATATACCTTTTTGGAAAGTTCATTTCACGCTAACACGTGTTTGATTGATTGTCGTTTCTTTCAAGTCGTTCGTGAGTTATAGCGTCGCAAACACGGAGCAAAATAAAGAGAAAATACGGCATCTTTTACAGTTCTACTACGACAAAGGCAAAAATGCATCTCAAGCAGCCAATAAAATTTGTGCAGTTTATGGACCCGATACAGTTTCCATTTCCACCGCACAAMGATGGTTTCAACGTTTTCTTTCTGGTGTAGAGGTGATCGAAGATGCGCTGAATTGGTCGAAAGAGACCGGCATTATAGCAGCCGTAGCATCGGTCAAGAACTGGGCATGAGTCATGAAAAAAGTTTTATGAACAATTGAAAATTCAATAAAAATACCGCAAGAAATACCCTAAGACTTTTTTGACAACCTAATATTTGGTGTTTAAGATGTGGTAATGCTGGCTTTCCTCATAATTGTAAACCATCTCACCTTTTCAACAATTAGTGTGCTAAGTGATTTTTAAATTAATACATTTAGTTAAAAAATAACAAAATAAATGTGAAATGTGAACTTATTTCAATGCTTAGAGTGCATATTTAATCATACAATGTGAAAAAATTTAGTGAAACATTTAGAAATACTATGTGTCAATACAAATTTTTGAATTTTTAATCGGGAATATTTTTAAAAATATAAGTGCATATTAATAATCTGGAGAATCGGCCCTATGAGCACATAACCCATTTCTATCGAAATTGTTTACCTGAATATTTTAAATTCTAAAGTCGTTATTCACGATTTCTTTACTTTTCATAGTTTCAAATTTAATTAATACCCTCACTGACGACTTAGGTAGCAAAATTTATCGATGTATACAAGGTGCGTTCTAAAGTAAACAGGACTTCAAAAAAAACAGAGCAAATGTTTTTTCGGCAAAATCAATTTATTTTATTCAAAATAGTATATTACTGATTCAATACAGCCGTTTGCATGGTCCAAAAGCATGTTGAATGAGTGTTTTAGCTCGTTGGCTAGTATGCCGCTGCAAGCCTTGTGAATGGCTTCTACGTCTGCATAAGCTTTCATTTCATTGCAAATGCACTTTTCCGAAAAGGAAGAAATAGCACGGTGTTATATCGAGTGAATATGGGGAGTTTTTAATGGTTAAAATGTGATTTTTGCTCAAATAATCGTCCTTCGAATGTTGGATTCTGAGCAATTTTTGGTCATCAGTCAATTTGTGCAAAACAAACCGTGCATACACCGTTCGTAAGCCCAAATGTTCGGTGAAAATGAGATAAATCGATGTTTATGAGATGTTCAATTCCATTTCCATGAATTTCAATGATGATTTGAGCTGATTTTTTATGAATTCACGCATAGTATCAATGGAATTTCCGGTGATCACGGATTTTGATTGGCCCACATGGACACTTTGAAATAGTTGAAACCACTCGTGCACTCTGCTATGGGATAGGCAACCACGGCCATAAACATGTTGTTGGCTCTTTGTTCGAAGCTCATTTTCGCACCGATAACACATACAAAGTGATACTTACAACGCAATAACTTCCAATCGATGAAATGTCATGAAATTCTCACTGGACAATCGATGAAGATAGCAGAATCTAACGTCATAGAATCGACGTATAGATGGCGTACCAGAGGCGCTAGATTCAAAAAGTCCTGTTTACTTTGGAACGCACATTGTAATTTATTGGGCGGCATTAATCAGATTTGTAATTGTTGTAAAGGCACGTGAAATCCTGAAGACATTCCAGAATATCAGGAAACTCCACTTCATCTGAGGGATAGACATTTGGTATCTTTCCTTTTCGGAGCTGTACCCCACAAGACGGGTAAAACTTAGGTAACCGGTCACCGATAGGTTATCAATAAGTAATTAACATTGTTATCCTAACTTATCGAATAATAATGCATTCATTATTAATATTTTTAGCTTCGGAAAAAAGTAATTATTTTTCCTCTTTCACTATAAGTCGGTATGATTAGCTCACTCGCGCTCTCTGATTCATTTTGAGCAAATGCTACATATGTTATATTTTCTTTCTCTAATTTGCAAATTATGTTGGGAAACTATCTTTTCTCATCGGTTAACAGCATCTGTTTCATTGGCTATTTGTTTGATTAGCCATTTCTTTTTGAAAATAGTTTGTTTGGTTAATGTTATGGTCATCAACGAGTAAAAGAAAACCGGTCGATATGTTGTTTGTTTCATTGAAATTTTCATTTCATTTGCTTTTATTTAATTTTTTTTAAGTTTACATGTCCAAACATTACAGTTATATTTTTCCTTTCTATTTTTAAAATTTTTTAGTATTGGTTTCTAAATATTACCATTTATATATACATTACAAATGAATTTTCCTTAGAATTATTTTTACAAAGTTTTAGTAATTGTTTTAAAATAGCATTCTTTCTTACAATAATTTTTTGGCAAAATTTATGAATGATATTTACTATAATAAATGTAAATACCTTATATAGTATATGGATTTATATTATTATACATTGTATAATTTACAATACTAAGTACATCAATCTGCTAATTCTTAATATTTACACAGTTTGTACTAATTTAATTTTTTAAATTAATTAATTTAAAGCTATAAGTATTGAATAATTTAAATATATTATAAAAATTCGGCTTTGGTCGATTTTGATTGATCAAGCAAGTTTCACCTATGATTTTTGCGTTCATAGTCGCCGTAATGGATACTATTCTTCATCACGCAAAAACTGAGTTATTTCTATTGCTTTCAAACAGCATTTACACGTTTTGATATGGTTGCTTGAGTGACTCCCAAAGCTTCTGTGAGAATTTCTTGTGTATGTAGCAATCTTTATCCAGTAAGGCCTCCCAATACGTTTTTAGTCTATTAAGTCAAAATCACCACTTTTAAATCCACGCTTTTTGACCGCAAGCTCAGCTAGTGCATGCTCAACATAAAATTCCGCGAAAATAAATGACTTTCGGCCATATATAATATAATCCAAGTTGAGGACATTCGAAATGCCGGTGTAAGGCTTAAATGAGAAAATGGGGTTATTGTACCTAATATATAAAAATAAAATACTAACAATTCTAGTCTAATTAATTAGGAGAGATACCTAAAAGCTAAATGGTAAGAAATACATTTGCTGCTACTGTTGTCTTACAATGTCGGAAGGCTTCTTGCATTTAAACCGGATTTCTCGCCCAGCAGTTTCGATGAGTCTGGAGGCTTCCTTATTAACATGCTATCTAAGCCTCAGTTCGTGAGACTTTGCTATTTTGGAGATTTCATTTACCACTGAATTCACGCCTAGATCACGGTGCAGGTCAGCAGATCTAATGTACCAAGGAGCATTAACTAAAGTTAAGTACCTTGATTTAAACAGAATATTTGAATGTGCAGCTAATTGGTGAATCAAATTAAACTTAGCTAAAACAGTACACATTGATTTCACGTACAAAAATACTAGATATATGCGTCTATACTTAAATGATGTGCAAATACCATATCACAATACATGTATAAAAGAAAAAAAGAAGATGCATAATTAAAATTCAGAAATATGAATTGGTTATTGGTAGAAGCTCTGCTTTATTTACAAACCACAAAATTATAATCTACAAGCAGGTGTTCATATCAGTTTGGCCTCATGGGATACAACTTTGCGGCTACTCAAGCTCTAGTTTAAGATGCGCCGTCAATGCGCCTTGATACGATCTTGAACGCGATTTCGGAATTGACTCAGTTGCAGCATCAATCAAAAAATATAGTCTCCTATGGAAAGACTATCTGGCCATGTGAACACTGAAGCCCGGGGCTGTTACCGCTCAAAGTAAATGGAAAGAAAAAAAGCTTAAGCACAAAAAAGTTTATCACCTATACAGCAGCGAGACTCTGCAATTTTTACGCAGAACACCATTAATTATTTTGAATTATACAATAAGCAAAACAAATTGTTCGTTAGCTTATTATTTGATAACTAGTTACAATGGCAATGAAATAAAAAACGCCCTCTCGTTCTTTCGAGCTTCTACTGGTTTGTCACTAGCACAAGCATATGCAAGTTAGTAACATACATTATACAAATATAATTTTTAAAATGTCTTTCACAAGTGTCCATGACTTCCACCCTTTTTAGTCTTATTGGCGTATCCTTCCTGAAGGCCATCTTCACCACATGCTGCGGTATAGACATGTCCTGTATTGGGTCATATTCATTAATAAAAATGCTTCGGCATTTCTTCTGCTGGTAACTTTGATAAAAGCTCCACAGCTAGGTTAACAACCACATCCGTAGATCAGTGGATATACCGAGGAAATAAGTGTGCCTGAATGAAATTTCAATAATATATTAAATATATTATTAATTATTAAATTTTTCTAGTTTGGAAAAGATTTTATTGAATAAATATTAAAAACTTACGCACTATCTTCAAATTTCTCTTTGAGGCGATTCAATATCGGCAAATTTTATTAGATTCATGGTCAATATGTGCACAATCAAAAATAATGTTTAATAAATCTTACTAACCTTATGGTACAACATCGTGTTTCTTGTGATATTAGCAGCTTGACGTTGACGTTGCTGTCTTGTCCTTCTACGAGTGTACCGAGGGAAATTTATTGACGTATTCTCACATTCCTTGCCTCTATATTTCCAAATGACTAATAGCGGGATCCGATCTATTTTGTTGCAAGTTGTAGCCTAGTATGCTGACGGGTCAATCTCCTTTAAGAGAATTTGAAATTTGCATAAGCTTTAAGTTCAACGCGAAACTCACATTGCGATTCTGTGATGCAGTCTCAAGTCTCTAAATTTGAGATTTTAAGTTAGAGACAATTTTTCATTATTCAGAAATGTTTTTAGACTTGAATGAAAATAAATATTATTAAATTTTCTATAACATAGTCAAAAAACATAATTGTCAATAAAAATAATAACAGAGAAAAAAAGTTTTAAAAAGTGCACAAGTGCAAGTGCAGTGAAAAAGTGAAACTACATAGCAGTACGGTGAAAAAAATAAGCAGTTACTACAAACAAGCCACCGCAGCATTCCTACTAGCAAAGGAACTAATGTACACATTGGCCTACCGTACTCCCCAAAATCCTATGACGGATAACAAAGTGAGTCGTATCGCTTCCTTTTAGTATTGCATTTTTGATTTAAATTTTGTGCACATTCGCAATCGTGTTTTCAAACCGTACGGTCGCATTTTTTCTCTCGCTTGTGCTATCGTTGAGTATCTGCAATCTAGCGGTGTCTGTGTTATAACGCTACTTTACAGTTGTGCACAAAAAACTTTTTTACTGTTTATTTTCCCGCTGTGTTTATTTTCTTATTGTTAACTTGTGCTACATTAATACATTTTTGCATACATAAATAGTAATATTTTCACAATGCCCCCTGGGGCCAAC